CCCTCCACCTCCTCCACCACCTTTGCCTGGTACAGGTGTTCCACCTCCTCCACCACCTTTGCCTGGTGCAGCTGTCCCCCCTCCACCTCTTCCACCACCTTTGCCTGGTGCTGGTGTCCCTCCACCACCTCCTCCTTTGCCTGGATTGGGGATGCCACCTCCAGCCCCACCACCTTTGCCTGGAGAAGCACCACCCCTTCCAGCGCCAGTCCAGGGCAGCACTTACCCAGCAGTCCCACAGGTGTGTGGGTTTCTTCCTCCTCCGTTACCATCTGTTTTTTTTGCAATGGGGATGAATCAGGAGAAAGGGAGCAGGAAACACGTAATAGAGCCTTCTCGGCCAATGAAGCCTCTTTACTGGACAAGAATCCAGCTCCACAGTAAAAGGTAAGTCATAGAGTTGTGAAGAGAGTGGTGCTGTCACTTTATGGCTGTCTTCATAGTGACATATGTTATGAGCAAAAGTCTTTTTTCTTACTGCTGGGCAGGTCTTTGAGAGAACCTCAGGGCAAGCAGGATTTTATTTGTAGTTGGCTGTGTAAACGGAATGCCCATTTTATTTAAAGCACACAAATTCTTTGTAACATTATTTGAACATGAAAGCTCTTTGAGGGTAGCGTTTTCACCTGTCCTTTGGGATTACACACCACATGTCGATCAGAGATCAGGGGGTGACTGTGTGCCATTAAGCGTTTTGTGAGATGGTTTTTAAAATGTATTTCTGCTTCCTCTCAACTTTCAGGATGGCGTTGGTCTCTCTAGTTTTGACACTCTTCTCTAGTATCAAAACTGTCAAGTTTTGATAGCATCTTCTCTCCGTAAAATCCTTCTGCTGTTATTTAAAGATGAATTTCTCATTTCTTTTCAAGTTCTTGCCACTATGACACAGTGGTCTGCAGATAACTGTCTATTTCTACTTCTCTTTGTGTCCACATCTGTATGTTTTATAGCCTATATACAATGTATTTATATTCCTATGTATATAAAGTGGGTGAATATAAATGAGACTGACCATTATTGTGTGTGAACAAAGAAGCAAACAAGGATGGGAGAGAATCAACAGTATATCTTATCAGAATGCTGCTAGTAGAATTTAGGCAACAACTTTTAAATTACTGCTGTTTTATTTTCTTCATTCCTCCATTTATGACCTTATTTAGTTTGACGTTGCCCTACATAGGTCTTTTGCTTAACTTTAGAGATTCTAGTGCTTCACTTGTGTGGGAAAAAATTGAAGAGCCTTCCATAGATTATCATGAGTTTGAAGAACTGTTTTCTAAAACAGCTGTTAAAGAGAGGAAGAAACCCATTTCGGACACCATTACAAAAACAAAGACTAAACAAGTGAGTACTCATTTAATTTCAGATCTTTTCTAGGCTGGTTTTTACATAAAGACAGATTTTTGCATGCAGCTGAGATGAGTTTTTCCTGGTGTGAAATTGTTACTCTGTATATACACTATGCAGAAATATAAGAGAAGGAGAGAATGTAAGATAGGTCTCAAAACTATATGTGTTAAGGACTGAATTTTTCTTTTTCTATAAATTACTTTTCAAGTATGTAGTTTCTAAAAAAAAAAAAAATCTTTGCTTTATCCACGTAAAAATAATAAAAATAAAACTGAGATAATTAGGTGCATATATGATGAAAATGAAATTGACTGCATATGTGCAATGAGTGGTATATAAATTATTCTGATTAATTTTATAAATTAAATAATGAGTTGCATATGAATTATCATGACTTCAGAGAAAAATTATGTTTGGGAATCTAAGTCCTAATGTTATACCAATCATAACAGTTCTAAATTTGTGTTATGTTTATATATATATATAGTGAATATGAAGTTTATGTATACAATAAATGACAAGCACAGTTGGGAAAATCCAACATTAATCAGACTGGTTTCTTGAAATGGAATGATGTGCAATAAAATAAAATAGGAAGCATATTTCAAATGTAGGAGTTGAAACCCTGGGGTAAAAGAATTCAGTCTGAATATTTACATGACTAGAGCTGTAATCTTCTTGGTATCTGTGTGAAAATTGAATTGTGTTGGTATGATAATTAATTTGCGATTAAACTTTCAGTCTATAGAGGAGAATGTTCTTATGTAGAATCCTAAACAGCAGTAAAGGTTATTGCTTCATCTCATTTTCACATTTCTGTATTCAGTTCAGGAATAGGCTGTTCTTTTCATCATCTTTTAACATACAGGTTAACGTTATATAAGATTTTTCCCCACATGGGATGTACAGTGTGACTCTTCAAAATCCCCATGCAGTAAAGCTTATGTTTGAATATGACCTCTTCACCTAGTAGTCCTGGAGATCTTTCCCCCACAGGCATACTTTGGTCACCAATATAAAGGTGCAGGCACTCTTTGCTGTGCTGGCAACCTGCTGCAGGCAACAGAACTGGTAGTGAAATTAGAATGATTATCCCAAGGTGTTGGATGGATGGGAAGGGTAGTTCAGCCACACTTGTGTGGCTGTTCATCACATACCTGTGTGATGCACTCGGCTGTACTAACAGATGTGAGGAAAGGTAATGGTGCTGCTGCCACCTTACTGTGCTGCAATAAATCTCCAAAGTGTAAGACCTTTGCTCTTCTTTCCTCCTTCTACAAAAAGCTCTTTTAAATGGTTCTTCCTAACTAAATTAATACAATAGCCCATTAAGTAAAAAAACAAGTGCAGAGGTATACCTGATGTTTTACCTATGTACTGTTGGTCCATTTACATTCCATAAGGTTTGGTGATTGAAATCTCTAAACAGAGTAGAAATGACAACTGTTTAATTCTGTAATGTAAACAGTGGTTAAAGACAGACAGCAATTATGAATAAACATTAGATGTGGATTTTAATAAAAAGAGTATTTCTTTTTCTTGCACTGCCAAAAATTTAGATACATTGTCAATAAATAAATAAAATGTAGATAAAACTGTGAAAAGGACTGATTACTCTTAACTAGTTTGAAAATAATTTGTTTATGACAGAAACTTCCACACGGAAGTTTAAGGCGATGTAAGTAGGTGCTGGCATCTAGAATGAACATTCCTGTGGACCACCTAAATTGACAGAAGAGAATCCCCCATGTGTTTCTCTTCCGCTGGTGATCAAATGAATGTACTGCTCCCTGATTTGTTGAACTGTAGTATCTGGGGGGAAAAGATCAACCAAACAGATAATCACAGGCTTTCATTATAACTACAATTAGAGCTATCATTTACTGCAGATGTCAAAGTTAAATGTTCATGTGTGCAAATCCAGTTTGGGCTTTTCATAGTATTGCCATGAGACAACTGAAGTAGAACAGCTTCACAAATGTATTCTACGTACGCCCTCTCAGCACTTTGGAATGCAGGCCTTCATTTTTAAAATTCTCTTCATTTATAAAGCAGTAAACACTTGGATAATGAAGTCCATCCATGTTTAGCAGAAGAAACGGTTATTTGGGGAAAGCATGGCTGTAATTTCACAAGTATGTTTTTATAGGAAGCACCAAGTGCTGTTTAAGTGGTTACTGACTTACATGGCTTTTATGATAGTTACGGGTGTTGTAAAGATCTTACAAATGGTGTTTCTACAGTCATGTTTTAGAGGGATGTGCTATGCAAAGCAGATGTGTTCTGTCACCTGTTGAGCTATAGAGAAGCATTGTACAGAACAGAATCAGGACCTGCAAACTCCCTCTGCTGCTTTCCAGAAATGCTCTAGTCTGGCAATTGGTTTTCCTCCTTGTATTGACATGCGGATGTGCTGAGTGGATGTATTGCTTATAGCAGTCAGGAAAAAATGCTCAGATAACTTTCAAATGCCTAAAATATTTGGTACTCTACGTAAACATCTGATTTTAATAAAACAATGTTTTTATTGTAAGCTAAAATAAAAATGTATTTACAGAGGAGGCCACATGGCAGGGGTGGAAATTCTAGCTAATCTGAAGAAAGATTTGATAGTTTGGGGATGTTTTAGTGGGAGAAAGGTTAATTATTTTGGAGTATACTGCTGTGCTGCACACAGAGCCATTTATGCTATATGCCATAGAGTATAGGCATATGTTTGCTTGTGTATGTATATAGTTATGAATGATAGAATTATTTCTAAATGTTGACCCCTTTTAAAGTGGTAAAATTATCTATATTGTTGTGGGTTACTTTAGGTCTTTTTGAGTTAAAGATTGAGTTAATTTCATGCTACGTAAGTATTAGTTCTCATTGGTTTTTTTGTTGGCATGATCATCTACCAATAACTTAATACAATATAAATCAACGATGTATTAAAAAAATCGATATTACATCTAGCACTAAATGAAGGCCACATCAAAATCTGTTCTAGAACTTTAAAGAAAGAGAAAAAATGAAGTGTTAATATTTATTTGTGAATGCAGCTGATTTTTTGCTATGGCAAAACCTGTGATTTATTTTGCTCTGTTAATGTGTATACGTCAAATTCTCAGCTGCTGTAAATGTGTGCAGGCTCACTCAATGAGAATGTCTACTAAATCTTCAAAGAAAGTCCTTTATGGGCTATATTATAGGTGGGGCTGCCATGGGTACCTATTAAAGTGGTCTGACTTTCATTATAAGCCCCTGTTGTTACAACTGCCAAAATTTAGCTCTTTAGGCTGCAAGTTTTGTTGGGTTGGGTTTTTGTTGTTTTGGTTTGTTGTTGGTTTTTGAGGGGTTTTTTGTTTGGTTTTTTTCACTCACATTGGGTGTCTCCTTCATTTTGCCAGTGTTAAAAAAGAAAAAAAAAAAAAAAAAAGGGGTCTGGTTTTGCTCATGTCTGACTCTGTGTCAATTCTTATTCTGTCTAAAGTATTTTTTGTCAGAAACTTGTGAACCTTGAGTATTCTTGACCTGGATGTTCCTTTCAACAAATAGTGAATCTTATCAGACCTATAGTGTATGACCCAGCAAAGGGTGAAGGCTCACTCTTGGAGTGTCCTGTTCAGCCATGCTGTGTAGTTATGATACTATTGTTGGTTATATGTCTGGATAGTATTTTTCATGGCACCCTTTCCATGGCTAGTGTGGATTGTGTGGAGTGACACAGTTCATGATGATTACTTAGGAAGTGAAGATGTTACCTGAGTAAAAAAATACCTGTATCAGTTGTTGCAGCACTTTAAAAAACATGTAATTAGTGAAGCAGGAAGAAAAAGGATAGTCCCATGATCAAGGCCATACACTTAAGAACAACGCTAAATGCCATATTAAAAATGTGCTTACATGGCAAACATTGGCCAGTGTGCACTGAATGGGTTCAGTGGAAAAATGGTACACAGTCAGAAAATCTTGATATCATAATAACTATAGAGAAGGGGCTGGGCTGACTTGCATAGATTACTTTCTAACTTTTGAACAGTTGTCTTAGAAGCCTTACTGATAATCCTCTAACTGTATTTTTAGAAAATAATATACATGTAACTACAATTAACTTTTCAAGAGCAGACCATGTGTTTATAATCTATCATGTAAACAAAATAAAAATGTTAAAGATATTCTCATATGGAAAGTCCACTATTAATCTGCTGACATTAAGATTTTAATCTCCCTCTCCCACCCCAGAAAATAAATAATAGATTACTAAATTTTAATTCTGTTTCAAAATCCTTAGATTCAAACAAGATGTATCAATACAACTATTTAGTTAATTATTTAAGCATTTTTGAATTTTTAAGTTGAACATAAAGAAGCTGTGGTAATAGAATACCCCTAGAAATAAAGTGCCACATAAAATAGGTGTAAATTGGTAAATAAAGTAAATGCCATATTGAGTTAACAGATAAAAGTTTATTCACTGACAAAGAATGACATAAAGGAAAAAATAATTTTCTGAAAAGGAGGGTTTATTCCCTCTGCAAACAGTGGAGGAACTTATTGAACTATTACCTGTATCAATGCACAACTGTTTGCTGTGATTTTATGTACTCTCCAGAGATACAGTCGGGGTTCTGCTGCCCCCACAGACAGGAATTTTTGAGGACTTAACTGATGGATTGTTTTTATTTATACAAGCAAATAATTAATGTAATGAAGCTATTTATGAAATTAAATCTCATTTGTCTTGTAAGAATAATTTCTTTTACGAGTTGCTGTACGAATGTGATCTCTGTTTTTACCTCTCATTCTTTTCTTTATATGGCTTATTGAATGTTTTGTTATTATATTATTTGTTTTGCAACTGTATGTACAAAATTCTCTTTGTTGCAAACACAGTTTTGCCTGATTGCATCTATATATCAAATATCTCTACCTGTTTAGGCTTCCCAGGTTGATGTCCTCTATTAACCACATGCATTTCTTATTCTTATTTCCTTCCTGCTTTCTTTTCT